TCCTGCTGAAGGGAGATCTTGATCTGGAGCTTGTGCTGTTGTGCAAAGACAAACCCACCATCACCCTGTTAAAGAAAGTTTCCGAGAACCTCGCTGTGCAGCTTAAGGTATGTCTGCATCTCTGATTTTAAGCATTGTTTACAAAGGCAGAATAAAAAACATGCATATCTTTCCAACAGCTCATCACAGATGAAAAATATGACGTTAAACCTTGCGTCCGTGATGCCACCATTGTCATCAAGAACTCCAAGGAGCCACCGCTGACCCTCACCCTTAACCTGACATCACCTCTCGTGAGGGAGGAGGCTGAGAAGCAGGCCGCCGGAGGTAGGTTTGAAATCAAGTGCCTTATGCTTCCTCTAACCACCCCACAACCCCAGAGACAGCAAATGCAGATGGGATGGACTCAGGCAGGGATATTGTTTATTGGGCCTTCAATGGAGCTTGGGGATATTGTGTACAGACTAGTCATGTAACACAGATTGTTATGTTTACTGCCACCTGAAGTCTCACAGTTCCTTGCAGCGTGATGTTAGAGTGTTGATGGCCCAATATACAGTAACATAAGTGATGGGTAAAGCTTTAAATAAGACCCAGTTCCCTTTGAAGTATTTAAAAGGAGAGTTTACTGAAGGCTTACTGAGAATTAAGAAACAAAATCACAAACCTTGTTGTTTGCATGTGTTCGTATAATGGAGAAGAAAGGGAACGGTTTGCATTGCAGCAAAAATGAGAAGCAGAAGTATTGTCGAGTTCTGGTTTGTTCGCCAGGACTTGTTGACAGAGCCTTTCTCAAAGAGGCTGGACAGAGGGCAGGAGGGTTATAGATAATGCTAGACATTAGGATACAGCGTAAATAATAGATTCGACCCAGAGTGATCATAATATGGTCACAGTAACTCAATGGATCTGTAGTTAACTTTAGAGAATTGTGGGTGCCCTTTTTTAGTTTAGTAAAGAGCTTTTTCAGGGCTAGGGTGTTGTATAGGGAAAACACCGACATAAAAACTTGTTTCGGTAAGAAAACAATTGACCTTTGGCTAAACCCCATTTTTACAATCTTGGCAGCTTTTGCCATTCTCCATTTTATCAGACAAACTTCTGGTCTTTGGTCTATGGAAGTTTTTTAACCAAAATATGGTAAACTGTTGCTGCTAAATCTTTACCAATTGTATTACATGTTCTATGACATTGCCATCTTACAGTTGTTTTTAAATAAAGCTGCTCCCTTTGCAGTTTTTAGTCATTTTACTCTAAACTTATTATGATTATGATACTTTGCATTGTCACAATTTAATCCAATTAATATAAAAAAATATTTAATAAGCACATCTTATTAAAAAAATAACACTTAAAATATCTGGATGTTTCCTGCAAAACTTGTATAAGCGATGTAAAGGTAACCAAAGGGTGGCGGGGCTTAGCGAAGGGTCAATCGAGAGCAAACTTGATGCCGAACTCAAAGCCTAGCCCTATCTGTGACCCCTCGGTTAGTGATGCCTGCCTTAGACCATCGTGAGCCATCAGTTTTGCTGCAGTGTGGGCTCGTTTTGATCATACCTCTTGTGTATCTGAATACTGCTGCCTGTGGTTCAAAATCTGATTCTCTCTGTCAAGCCTTCTAGTTTGTCGATTTTAGGGACGCTGGACCTTTGACCAACTGGACGCTCTCTGTCTCGGAAGGGGCAAGGCAGTGCACCCAGAAAAAAAAACAAGGGGGCGAGGGGGAGGGGTTCCCCCATGTCACATGAATGCACAAATGCACTCCGATCTCACAGATACACAAGCCATAGAAGAACCTCCCTTTGACATTCACTCACTGTACACTTCATGCCACAAAATACAGCCACAAGGGCTCTGTTCCAAATCATAGTGAGCTGCCTACCTAGACGCCATCTTGAGGCATCACAGGTGAAGACAGTGGCAGAAAATTGTTGGCGAAATCATCACGTGTCTTCCATAGTTAGTCCAGATGCATTGCGCATAAATAACGTTTATGCATTTTGGCAGATGCTTTTATCCAAAGCGTTATTAAAACACTTTCACAGAAATTTGTAACAGTCAACCCTTAATCCATTTTAGAGTTTATGTAACGCAAACTATATATAGGCTTTTAAATGACTCTTTTATAATATTTCAACTTGTGACTTTGCCAAGGAATTTGGCATGGCATTGAAACGCCAACCAACCGAAGTGTTACGATGGTTTTGTGCCGAAATTTGATCTAAAATGGTGTACTTTCATGTAAAGTGGTATTTTACATAAGTATGTTTATTAGTTAATTCAAAAGTATAATTATAAGTGGTTCTGTCTATTTAAGAAAAATAGACTGTTTTACTCAATATTTCTGTGTGCATTAGTTTATGTGGACATATTGGAATGTACCATGAATGTTTATGGACATGTTTTTAGTTTAAATGTAAAATTTC